CAGTGATACCAGGTTTTCAAAGTCTGATAGTCATTTATCATTTATCAAGAACCTTAGTAACTAGTAACTTAGCAAACTCAGTAAAAATTAGTAACTACTTCACTGTTCAGTAAATTCTTAATGTGATGGATGGGCTTGATGAAGGAATACCAGTTTCCCAATGTCTGGTTTTAAGTCACTTAGCAGGAGTCTTAAATCACCATGTTCAGTAATCTGGAGTCGATTTCTTTGCTTGGAGAGAAGTTGGATGACCACACTGAAGCAACGTTCCACCAAATATGATGTTGGAAATGCAATAAGGAGCTTCTTAACCACTATCTATAGTGAAGGATAGCGATCAGAAATTTATTTCTGTAACCAAAACTCTTGGTACGATTTTTTAAACTTTGGCTTCAGCTCAATGTCATTTTGAAGCTCTATGAGTTGTTCCTCCACTACCCCATCTTCCTCAGTATCTGAAAATGGTCTTTGCGCGCTTCTGCCTTCCTCGCAGGCATGTTTACTTGGGCTCGGCAAGCTCCCAGGGCTGCGTCTCGGAGCCTGTCACCCCCGCTGGCCTGAGGATATGAGCAGGGCTCCTGGCCCGCAGAGGGGGAGGAAAAATGCCCCACGGGGCTCTCCCAAACCGCGCAAGACAGGGGGCTGTCCTTTTGGGCCGCAGCCTATATAATTTAGAATTTATAATATCCAATTGATCAAATTTCACAATCAAAGTTGAATTTTTTAAAAATATTTCCTACCTAAGAGCCAAAAATACAGTGCTTGGACCAAAAGACTGAGAGGAAACTGGGGGCCAATGGGAAAGGAAGAAGGATAAAGAATTTCTCTCAGTCTAATGGACTAATCAGGCTGTGACAAAATGCTCGCGTAACCCCTCCCTCAACTCTACTGGACGAGACTGTAGAATGAAACCTCAATTTAATGGAGCAACTGGGGAAATAGGAGATACCGTTTATCCACTAAATCTGGGGCCACATCATTATATAAATAGTATAAATTGTGTAGTTTTATGATGTCATTATGAAAAATAAAAATAGAAATTTCATCCATTGTATCAAGTCTATTTCATTAAAGTTACCTGTTGAGATTTCATTTCATACATGTTCTTCATTATTTATTCATTATGTATATATAATTTTCACCATATGCAAAAATTTATATTTCTCTATTATTTTAAAACCTGAAAAATTCTAAATCTTTTAAATGTTCCTCTTAAGATAAAGTTAAAATCTTTCAGCAATTACTTTTGTTTCCTTTTCTGTATACCTTTCAAAGTCACTGATCACATCTGAGAGTATTATTTCAAGAATGGCTACAGAGTGGATTTGGATAAAGGCATTGATTCTATCAATTTTTTTACAGATTTCCAACTTTTTGAAAACATCATTTGAGGAGTTCAATAAACATAGGAAAAGATTTTCTGATGAATAACTTCATTTCTAGATCATACTGTGTAATACCTGGATCCATTAATCTTCAGTGTCTGATTCCCTGTAACTTACCTACATTAATCTTCAAGTTTTAAAAAGTTCTCCATAGAATTGGGTTGTTGATATTACTTAAAAATAACACTGCATAAACTTTTAAGTATGTTGTGTACTTCTGAAATTCATCAAGGCATATTGTTTTATCAGTATGATTTAATTGCATTTACTGTGAAGCAACTGATTCAATTAAAATATATTCAAAGCATAGTTTCTCGAAAGTTTTAAAATAGCTGTTAGGAAGTAGCAGATTCAATATATTAATCTCTTGCCTGGCCCAGTAATAATATCTTTCCAGTAAGATATTTTACTCCCATTTTCAAACTGAGGTTAATACAAGGTCACTTTCTAAGGCAATTTTAGATTCAAATTTAACCCCCAACCTATTAATGTTTACATATGTCTACCATGTTTCAAGACTAGGAAAACAAATCCTGTTGTTTATTCCATGTTTATGTCTGAAACATTTATTATAGCTTAGGTCCTGCCACCACTTTAGACAGGTTTCACAAACACAAACTCTCCAAATAAACATGTTATTCCAAGATTATGAAAAGATCCTTTCCTTGCCATAAAAATTTTCTTCATTTTCTTCAACAGGTTTTCTATCTATATAAAATATCTGATAAGAATTAACATCAGAATCTCTCTTAAAATATATATTGAACTAGAGATTATTCATTTTAATATCTTTCTTCCCCCCTCCCTCTCTCTCTCACACACACAAGAGTCTTCCTTTGTATGTAAACGGTAAGTGAGCAAATTATTTTACTAACTCCAGAAAAAGGCTATCAGGAAACACAGCAGGCAGAACTTGTTCTTAAGAGTATGTGGAATAATAATTGCTGGGTTTTTTCCCCCAATTCCAGGTTAAAAGGCT